TTCTGACTGGGGGATTCTGGGAGTTGAAGTCCACCCATCTTAAAGTGGCCAAGGTTGAGAAACGCCAATCTAGCTAGAGCAGATCCCAGCTTCTAACAATGCCAGGGATCCAAAAAGAGGGAAGGAAGAGCCAGCTGTCGCCCGATTTGAGCGGTGACTGTGAGATTCGTTCCGGGGCACGCTTGATTTCAAACTCATCCGCTGATGGACTGCTGCTACCTGTTTGTCTGTTAAGCTGCCAGTGAGGCAGCCTCAATAAATAAAGTGAATAAATAAGTCTATTTACAGGTAAACAGGGGCCCCGGGGGATGAGTTTGGAGGAGGAGGCAGGAGAGACAATTCTGGGTAAAGGAAGGAAATGAATCCCACCCCTTGTTTTGTGCAGGAGGGACGAGGTCGAGGCGGGGGGAACATTCTGCCCCCCTCACCCCCCCCCCAGCATTGGAAAAATTAGGGCGGCGAATGTGTTTCGCCGCTCATCGCTGTGAAATGGGGAGGAGCAGGTAAAAAATGAACACCTTTAACCAAGGGTCTCTTGGGTGAGATAGGTAAGATCTGAACCCAGGACTCGAAAGGAGCTGGAAATGGGGAGAGGGGCTTACAAAGCAAAAAGGGGTCACACTCACCAGGTGTAAGAAAGAGGGACGCTGTGTTGGTGTGTTTGGGAAGGCGTTGGGGGTGGGGGCTGTTTTTCGGGACTGACCTGGCTGTTTCAGGAACAAAGGGGGGGGATAGAGTTGTACCTCCCGCAGAGGCTAGAGAGGGAGATTTAAATACAGCAGGTCCTTCGCTTACAACCGTCCGTTGAGTGACCTAAGTTACGACGGGACCGGAATTAAAAAGGGAAGTTATGGCCAAGAATTGCTGGTCATGGCTGGTCTCCCTGGTTCCAGGATCAAATTTGGACACTCGTATTTATGACAGTTCCAAGGGTCCCTGGGGCCACAGGATTCATCCTTTGTGGCCATCCCAGCCGGCTTCCGACGAGCGAATCCGGATTCGCTTAAGGACGGTGCGATTTGGCTTAGCGACCGCAGCGATCCTCTTAAAAAAAAATTATTAATAAAGTTCGTCACATCGGCTGCGCATTGCCGAATGAGCGCCTGGCTCTCGGCGACGGAAAAACACCTGGCTACCAACTGTGGTCGTAAGTGGAGGAGACTGGGAGTTCTAGTCCCGCCTTAGGCACGAAAGCCGACTGGGTGACTTTGGGCCAATCACCAGGAGACTGGGAGTTCTAGTCCCGCCTTAGGCATGAAAGACAGCTGGGTGACTTTGGGCCAATCACCAGGAGACTGGAAATTCTAGTCCCGCCTTAGACATGAAAGCCAGCTGAGTGACTTTGGGCCAATGACCAGGAGACTGGGAGTTCTAGTCCCGCCTTAGGCACGAAAGCCATCTGGCTGGGGGAATTCTGGGAGTTGTTGTCCATCTCTCTTATTGAAGCGGGCTGGGGTGGGCAGGGCAAGCTCGAAAGGGATGTAAATTTGGGGCCTTCCCTACCTGTCGGTCACCTGCCTTGGTAAGAGAAGGTTCACGATGACGAGTAATCGATGGATCCGCCAATGGCTCGAACGATTCCGGCTTTTTAGCTCTTGGATGTCGGGCGATCTGGCCTCTCGGGAGAGCTTATGGGTCACACGTCCCATTTCTGTTTCATGGTCCAAGCTGTCCGTTCCCCCTCCCCCCCCAAAAAATTGTTTTCCTTCAGAGCCAGCTATAAGCACGGGGGCGCTGATTGGAGAAGTGTGCACCATGGGCCAGGAGTCCGAAAGAAGAGGTAAGAGGGTGCCGGGATTCATAGGCCGGCCAGCCGGCCGCGGCCCTTTTAGGCCTTTTGAGCGAGCCGTTCCAGCTTTAGGGGTCACCTCGTCTGGGGGTCGCCTTCTTTTGCTGCAGCCGATGAATTGGGGGGGGAGGGGCGTGCCTCTCCCCCCCCCCCCAAGAGAGAAAGAGAAGCGAGCGGAGAGGGGCGGGCCAGGAGGTCAGACGTCGTAGTTGGGCAGGTAGCTGTAAGACGGCCCGCTGGTGGACGGAGAGGTGAAGTTGCAGGGGAAAAACCAGCAGACGACCAAACCTGGGCAGGAGAAGAGAGGAAGAGGGATTATTATTATTATTTTTGTGGGGGATGGCAAAGATTTGGTACCTCCCTCGACACCCAAGCGTGGAAGAGGAAGAGGAGGAGGTGGTGAAGGAGCAGGAGAAGAGGAGGTGCAGGAGGAAGAAAAAAAGAAGAAGAGAAGGAGAAGAGGAGGAGGAGGAAGAAGAAAAGGAGGAGAGAAGAGGAGCAAGTGGAGGAGAAGGAGGAGGAAGGAAAAGAAGGAGAAGGAGAAGAGAAGGAGGTGGTGGTGTAGGAGGAAGGAAAAAAGGAGAAGAAAAGGAGGAGGAGAAAAGGAGAAGGAGAAGAGGAGGAAGAGGAGGAGGGAGAAGAAAAGGAGGAGAGAAGAAGAGCAAGTGGAGGAGAAGGAGGAGGAAGGAGAAAAGGAGAAGGAGAAGAGGAGAAGGAGAAGAGGAGGAGGAGGTGGTGTAGGAGGAAGGAAAAAAGGAAAAGAAAAGGAGGAGGAGAAAAGGAGAAGGAGAAGAGGAGGAGAGAAGAAGAGCAAGTGGAGGAGAAGGAGGAGGAAGGAAAAGAAGGAGAAGGAGAAGAGAAGGAGGTGGTGGTGTAGGAGGAAGGAAAAAAGGAGAAGAAAAGGAGGAGGAGAAAAGGAGAAGGAGAAGAGGAGGAGGAGGTGACAGAGCAGGAGAAGAGGAGCAGGTGGAAGAGGAAGGAAAAGAAGGAGGAGGTGAAGGAGGAGAAGGAAGAAGAAGAGATGTAGGAGGAAGAAAAAAGAGGAAGAGGAGAAGGAGAGGAGGTGGTGAAGGAGCAGGTGGAGGAGGAAGGCAGAGGAGGAGGAGGAGATGGAGAAGGAAGAAGAGGAGGAGGAAGAAGAAAAGGAGATGATGCAGGAGAAGGAGAATAAGAGGAAGAGAAAGAAGAAAAGGAGAAGAAGATGGGGAACAGAAGGAGAAGAGGAGGAGGAGGAAGAGGAGGAGGAGGAGAGAAGGAGAAAAGGAGAAGGAAGGAAAGGAAGGACCTCCGTCCCGGCGTACCTCGGCCGAAGACCTCACGCAGGAGGGCAATCTTGGGTTTGCGTGTGTGGCTCCCCACCTGGGGACCCTCCCTCTGAAGCCGGTTGCGCAGCTGCTCCACGGCGGTCTCGTCGGTGATGATGGAGACCACCTGGAAGGCAGACGGGGGTGGGAGGGGGGAGGTTTGAGGAGGTCTCGGCGCGATGACGTTCTCTGCCACGAGGCCCCTTCGCCCACCCAAGTTACAACCTCACCTGGTCGTAAAATATCACCGTGACGAAGAGGCCGAAGAGGATGGACTCCACTAGCAAGATGATCCGGTGAGCACTGGGATTTTATTTTTATTTTTATTTTTTTGAGGGGGGGAGAAAAGCAGAGCATCAGTGATTGGTCGACCAGCCTTAAGCCCCCCCCCCCCCCTTTTTCTTGCAGCGCTGTTCTAACTCCGGTCCCTCAACGAGGACAGCCTCGTTGAGCGACCGCCGGAAGCAAAGTCCGGTTTTGCACACTTTCCCGGCCCCTCCAATCCCTAAATTCGAACGAGAGAGAAGCTGAAACCCCAAACCCTCCCATTTTTTTTTATTCCCCCCTCCCCATAAAACGAGAGGTCGGCCATTCCCGTCGATGCCAAATTAGCCAGTCTTTTCCTGCCCCTCCCTCCCCGAATCCGTGCCAAAAATCTGGCGCTCCAGTTGTTCTTTGGCAAGGCCTGGGTAACATGGCAAATTTCTTTTGACTCTTATTTCTGTTTTTTTTTTCCCCCTCTCTTTTCTTCTTTTTAAGGGTCAAAGTGAAGGAAAGGACCAAACTCCCATTTCTGGAAGGTTGGAAAAAAAAATAATAATAATAAGATTTTGGGGTTTTTTGTTTTTTTGAAGGATGGGGTGTGTGGAAAAGCCTGGTGGGAGAACAGAAGCAGGAGGGTGGGGGGAAGGCTTACATTTGGATGGGGTTGCCGGCCACGCCGCCTTCGTAGCCTTCGGATCTGCTGGCCGAGATCCTGTCCAGGGGCCACAACCAGGAGGCCAAAACCAGCCCCATGGAGTAGAGACTCGCCAAGCCTGTGGCCGGGGAAAATTAGGTCAGCCGACGCCAAGGAAAACCGAAGGATGGGGGAGAGAAGGAAGAGTCCAAGGCAATTCTTTCTCTCTGGATCCCTCGTTAATTCCTGCAGGCTCCTTCTCGTCCGTTCCCAGAATGGAGAGGAGGAAATCAAGGGGTTCCCTCTGCGGTTATTATTTATTTTTATTTTTATTTTTTTTGGGGGGGAGAAGGAAGGCTCAGTCTTACGTTTCAGGAAGTTTTTCTAACCCTCGTGGGA